AAAATGTTGTATGTTGAATAAAATTTTCTATAAAATTTTTTTGGGTGAGTGATGACATGGACATTGAAGAAGAATTTTCCTCTCCTTGGAAATAGAGTTTTGGGAACTGTTTTCATTTGTGAGGTTTTGCTTAAAGGTGTGGTGTTTTGTTTTTAGTGTTAAGAATAGTGTAACTCTCGTGTTATTTGTTTTGGGGAAGATTTGTGGGATTTTGTCTCATTGTTTTGGGCTTCGAGGGTTTTGGGTTTTTTTTGTTTTGCTTTTGTTTTGTACCTCCTAACTAGTCAAATTTGAGCTTCATCAATAAAAGGTTTTCCAGGGAGGAGCCATGTACAAATAAGACAAATGGAAGAATTTATTTTACTAGTTTGTTTGTAAAGCTTGTAGTAGAGTTTTTGTGGTAGACTTGACTCTGCCTGCCTGTACAAAATTTTGTGGTCCAGATTCTCAAGTTTAATCCTATAAATGCTGTAAAGTGAAATCTGGAGTCTCTAAAGGTAAGCTTCATTAATAGAGTAATAGATTCCCACTGTAATGTGTTCCCTGTATTCATAACCAAAACAGAAAATGCTTAGAAGCTTCCCTTTCTCAGACCTGTCAGTAAATGTTTAGTAGGGGGTGAGTACATACGATGGCCTTTATACCTTTTGCTGAGATGCATTCTGGTGATTACTGAAAACACCAGCAAGGATTTGTAAATTTAATTTTAAGATCTAATTCATTCTTTTACCTTTAAAATCAGTTAATTGCGCAAGTTTTAGGCATGTTTGGTTTTGTTTTAATTTATATCTTTCAGTGCTTTTAACTGTCTGATTTCTAGTCAAGGCTTTTCTTTTTTGTTACCTGAGTGCAGAGCTTCCAGGTGGAGGGAAGTGCTTTAAATGACTTGCCTTATGTGGATAAAGTTTTCCTTTAATTTGTATTTGCATCGAAGTGCTGAGAATTACAACCCCATCCAAGTGGTGTTCTTACTAGTACTTGGATTGTCTCTGCAGGCTTTCAGTAAATGTCAGGATTTGTATTCAAAACATTTCGGTAGAATCAGAGACTCTGGTCAGCAGTAGTAAGCCCTAATTATGTTTTGTGACTTTAATGTTACAGTAACTGATCTAAAATTGAGTTTGTAGCCAAATGTCACTAATTTTTCATGTTCATGCATAGGATGTTGGAAGCTTTTAGGAAATACCTTAAGGAATCACAATACTTTCTATTTCAGAAGAGAATACCACTAATGAAGTAAATTTTGGGTGCCTTTTGAGTTTTTAGATTGAGTTTTAATGTTCGTCAGTGTTTGTGCTGTTGCCTCACTAGTTTTGAAGTGATGATACATTCAGGCATTCCAGATGCAGTTCTCAATAACTGAAGGGTTTTAATGAAAAAGTAATTTTTTTTTTGGAGCACAAGTAACTTGTTCAAAAGTTGAAACACCTACGAAGAGAAGAGGAAGACAGGAGGTTTCTCAGGTGCAGTATATTTGGTTCATTCTAAAAAAATTTACAAGAATACAGTCATCAAAATTACCTTTCTTTCACATTTTTTATTCAGATTTTTGAATTATCTGGATAATAAGCAGTGAATGCATTAAATGAAGTTAATATAAGTGTTAAGCAATAAGGATGTAATTTCATGGTACAGATCATCAGAACAAAATGACATTAAATGGCACATCTGAATTCTCCCTAGGAAAATAGCAAACATTGTTCCTGTAGATTTGCATAGTGCCTTTTATCCTAAAGGAGTCCAAAGCATTCTGTGAGATCTAAGCAAATCACACCAGTGACATAGCTGCTGATTAGAGAGTGACAGCCAACCAAATACCCTGTGTACAAGAAGGCCTACTGAGCAACACCTGGACAAACCTGTGCTGCCCTAGGATGTGTTGGAGGGATTGGGCCGATGTGCCGGAGGATGTGCTGAATGTGCAGTGCCTCCTGCATACTGGATCTACCTCAGCTGCTGCCCCTCCAGAGCTGGCATGCCAGCATCCTGTCCACATCCCATCTGGCATCCCACTGGAGCCCGGACCCCCTGCCCCGTGGGCTCTGTGCTGGCTGCAGGTGTCAGGGCCCAAATACAAGCTGTGCCGTAGTTTTGCTGGTGAATATCCTTTGTGAGAAATCATTTTCTGTAGGAACTGTATATATTGTAAATAAAGTAGACTAGGATAAACACTGGATTGGTGTCCTGTCTGTTCATTTTGGAGAAGATGGGGTATGAAAGCTAAGGAGTCGCTCAGAAGTCAGGGTGATTTTGGTTAGACCAAGGAGGTAAATTCTGCAAAATTCAGCTGACCTGTGTGTTAAGAATGACATTCACAGTGTAGCGAGAGCTGGCCACGAGGCAGATGTTGACCTCTGTGGCAGTTCCCAGTTTCTGAACTCTTGTTTTTTTCTTGGAGGAACTAAATGATGATTTGGATACTGAGGTAGAGAGCATCAGTGTTTGGTGAGTGAATGGTGTGTCATTTATTGTTGGCTTTTAAACCAGCCTGGTCTTTAGGGTCAGAAAAAGGGGAAATACCTGTGCTGTGCCCAAATCTGGTTTCAAATCTGTGCTCATCATTCCTGTTCCAGGTGGTGTTGAAGTTAGCCATGTACCAAGCACAGCAGCAGTAAATTACATTTGCCAACCACCAGGCTGTGCCTGGAAGCCTGCATTTTGTTATTAAATACTTGCATAAATTGTTGTTTAAACATCTCCAGCTATTGATGTAAAAATGATCCAACTACTTCTGTTAAATGATTCCTGCACATCTTAAATCATACAAATAATTTATGTATATATTCATGTGGGGTTTTGCTCTGTCACCTTTTCTCCTGTTACTGGTTAGATGCATTTTTTTTACCATTACTTCACAGCAAAGCTTGCTGTTTCACAGCCAATTTTTAAAATGAAGAAAAATCTTAACATTTAAAAATAATGTGTGAAATGGCATGAAACCTGTTGGGCTGACATCTTCATGAGTGCTTGTGGATTTAATCTGTGTGGTGTTATTTCACCCTGGGTTGAAGTGGATGGGGCGTTACTAACCTGGCACAACAGAAGGCACTTACAATTGTACCACTGGGCTGGGAGGTGGAATGTATCAGCCTCGACAGAAATACCTCCCTTCAACTACACTGCGGAGCCTGTGCTTCTCTTGGAGGTTGTGAGTTTCTAAGTGTGCATACACCAGTAACTCACCCAGGGGATGGGCAGTGTGTTTCCAGGTGGCTCGCTTTGGCTGCTGCTGTGCTGAGGTCTTAAGGAGAGCCAGGTCTGCTCCAGGTGCAATTTCTTGGTCCGTGTTGGCTCATCAGCACGGGTTGGCCCATGGAGCTGCAGGTGGAGCATGCTGAATCATGCTGTGCTTGCTCTACAGACAGTTTGTGCTTGGCTAGTAGCCACGGTTTCCTTCAGCAGTGTCCCTCAGTGCTGCTGTTCTCACCTTCAGCAGGTCACCGTGCCTGGTTGCGGTGCCTGCCACGCTGCCCCAGCCTGATCTCCCTCTCTTTGGTTTGAGCTCTTGGAAAACGCTCGCTTTACGTTATCGCTGGCGTTGATCCAATGTTCGTTCAGGACCGCGGCTTGCGCTGTCCGAGGCCTGGAGCTCGGATCCATCCACCCTGCTGCAGCGAGGGGCCCCACAAGGGGGCGCAGTGTGGCGGGAAGGGCGCTGCCGCGCTGAGGGCTCTGTGTGTGGTGCCTCTGGCGGTGCCGGCTGGGCACGGTGCGGTGTCAGCGGGGAATGGCGTGCTGCTGCGGGAGGACAGCGAGTGCGGGCTGCCCTCCCGGAGCGGCCTGCGCCGCCGGGGGAGGCTGCCGGGCTCCCTGGTGTCCCCCCGGGATGTCCTGAGGTGAGGAGGGTTCTGTGCGTGCCGGTGGTGGCAAACCCCTCCTACGGCGAGTCCCGGCGTTGAGATCCCCGCTGAGCTGGAGCCAGTGTGACTAAATCGCTGTTGAGGGACACGCTTTTCTTTTTGCGGCTTAAACGGATTAAATAGCTGCAACAAATAACTCGATCAAACTTAATGTCAGAAGAACTGGGAAGTTTAAAGGTATTTTTAACTGCAAGGTGGCTACGGGTACCTCATCCATAGTCGGACAATGTCAGGGGATCAGCCTGAGTGCTGCCAGACACACACCCCGCTTGCCACTGAAATTACAGTACTAACACGAAAACGCTTGTGACAGAACGTTGAAATCAAGGGTTTCTTACATTCTTCTGTTGACTTTTCCAGCCAGCAATAAACAGCAGTTTTCTGTTTATTGCCGATCCTGTCAGTGTTGAGCAGGTTCTTGGCACCTTCTGGGCATGTAACTGCAGAGATTTGGTTTTGCAAGTTAAGTGTCTTTGGGTGAGAACTGTGAAAGCTCTCTGCAAAGTGTAAAGCCCTAGTAAGCCCTTGTCTGGGAGGTGGTGCACTGCAGTGATGAGGCGGAGAGATAAAATGAAGGCCTTGAGTTGTGGTACTGGTGGCTTTTTTCCAAGCTGTTCTTGCTGATCTTTCTGTGTTTGCCTGCTGGTTCTTGGTTTGTAAACGGGGTGTCCCAGGCTGACCAGTGTCTCTGCTCTGGATGCAGTGGGTCATGGAAGCAATGCAAACAGGAGATGTTTTGCCAGTATTGTTAACAATAACAAGTTTATTTTCTTACCTTGTATGTAATACAGTAAAGACAGTTTCATAACTTAGTGTTTTGTTAATAAATAATCAGCTACACTGTACCACCCACAGCTCCGCAGGGGTAGTACTATGAAGAAGAGCAGAGAAAGGTGAAATCCCAGCCAGTCAGTTCCAGTGCATAGGAGGTAAGTGCTTCTCTAAAATACATGTGTCCAAACCTCTCAGTTAGTGATGGGTTGAAAAGTCCAGAACAGTCTGTGTGCCAGCTGGTTTGGAGATTTGACAGCAGCAGTAATAGAACTGAAGTAAGTACTCATGAGCTGGTCAATTCAATGAATCAAATAGAGCATAAATACAAGTGATGCTAAATTAGTTTTCAAGACTTTTTGTTTTAAAGTAAGTCCAACTATGTGATGGTAAACTCCAGATGGATTCACCAGCAAGGGAGTTGTAGAACCTAAGCCTACTCCTTTATATTTCATACCAGTAGTTTTATGTGTAGGATCTTATGCAGTTAGGAAACAGAGACTTGATGCCATCTGGTTGCATAAACTTTGTTTCTATAGTCTTTTGTATCTATAAATATGAAAATGGCAGCATGGGCAGTAGTGGTCTGCGTCCTTGAAGATCCTCACAAAGAAAGGTACGAAGCAGCATCCAAAACAGCACCTACAGCCAAGGAGGAGATGGACATGCACAAATGATTTACTTACTGACTTTGCTTTCTGCTTGGCTACATCTGTGGTTTTCTTCTGCCTTATTCTGTCTGCCCTTTCACTGCATAAATCTCAAGTCTTCTAATGTTTGAGGTATCTTCCAAAAAATTGTCTTCACCATTAACACCTGATGCATTAGTCTGATTCTGAGCCTGAATCCTAAATTGTATTGGGGCAGTAGACAGTGTTGTACTAATTTTTGCTTGTCAGTTAAGTCTAGCAAGTTTGCATTCCCTGTAGCCATGATTACTGTATCTAGAATAGACAGAATAACTAATTTCCAAGTAGAGAAGGGTAAACCATCTATACAACCACTAGCTAGAACTTTGGGGTTTTAATACTTTTATAACCTTCTGCTATGAAGAATCTTCAAAGCATGCATGAAAGCTTACCCAACCATGCACAAGCTGGTGCACAGAAGGTAGGACAGTTTGCCCAGTCTGTAGGTGACCTGTGTGGTGATGTGCTGGCGGCAAGAAGGGCATATTGTGGATGTTGGTTTGCTTGAGAAGATGCCTGCTACGATGATTGGAGGCTGAGACACCATATAAACTGAGAGCAAGGGGAAATGAGAAGGAACAAAATTAGAAGTAAAGGAAATCTTTTACAAGTGATAAAGTCTTAATTGGAGAACATAGGTTCTCAACATGGCTGATCTAGAAGCACATATGTTCCTATTACTGATTTTAAGTATATTGATAAGAACCACAGTATTGCTTGTTCTGTGTATCCCAGTGTGTTGTTTCTACCCACAGCAAGTATTTACCTGGATAAGGACATACATAAGGAATTGCCTATACGATAACCCCCATTGTCAGGCAGTCTCCACTAGCCACTCTGAGAATTTATCTTCTGATACTTAATATGAAAAAGCGTGTTCTCCCTGAAGAAGAGATTTGAAGGCTGTAGAAGAACTTTCTGGATGAACTTTTCCATAGTTACAAGAAGTTCATCGGGGTAGTTATTCTAACATATAAATGTCATTACTTATATGCTGGTGCTGTGCTTAGTCAGTGAAGTCTATAGCTTCCCTCATGTTTTTTCAGTCTGGACCTGACTGTCATACTTCTTGAAGGGCATGGCTCTTGTAGGTACATGAAGACTGTTTTTTCAGAAATGTTTTCAGTGAAAACTATGATTTTAAACATCCTAAACCAAATTTAGGGTACATTCATACTGTAGCCTGAATCAAACTTTCAGAGTGGGAAGGTATGGTCTGTTAGATACATAGGATATAGTGTATCTGAGTTTAATTGTCTTCTGGTCTTAGGGGTTTTTAATAATGTTGTGTGTTTCCTCCTGTAAATGATGTTATTTGACTGTTCTTTGAAGCCTTTCCTCAGCGTCTCCTTTGAGCTTCTCCACTTCCATAAAGGTGACTAGAACAGGAACAACAAAATACACTGGACTTAAAATTATTTGTTCTGAAAGTCCTAGTTCCTAGCTGGTTAAAAAAAAAATAAAATAAAAATTGGGATCTTCTGTAGATTATCTAATGCTGGAAAACCAAGTCCGAATCTCTCATCTTAGTTTATCTTCCAACATTTCTAGGGAAATTTTACAGCCTCTTAGATTGGGAGGGGGGGTGGGGGGGGGGTGTCAGAAAACTCCATCTTCTGTGTTGATTTTAAAACTAAAAATATTTCACTTTTGTTGTTAGCATGTAGAACCTTGAAAATTACCAGAAACACAGTCCCCTGGCAGTTACCTGGTTGCTCAATGGTGGCGGTTTCCCGATAGGAGTAAGGTGGGGGAGCAGGATACTCATAACCCCCTGTACAAAGAAGAACAGGGAGAACCATAAAGATGTGTACAGCTTAATGCTTCCTGAAAGCCCCATTCAGAGTCTGATAAGAAGCTGCATTGGGGGGTGCCTTGCAGGGTGGGCCTGATGTAGCTCAGTGAAGTACAGGGCAAAAATGCTGTGTTGAACCATGGAATTTTAAAGGCAAAAGAGCCCACAGTGGCAAGCTGGCCTCATTTCCAATATAACATAAACTGAGAAACCAAATCGGTTTTTCAACACAAAGGCAGTAAATGTATCTGTTCCAGCGTAACATTGAAATGATACTTGGTTTTAATTTAAGGATTCTATTGATAAAATATCCACTGTACCTCTAACTAGTTCCAGTGATACACTGAAATTCTGTTAGTATTCAGAGCCTTTTTTCAAGCTTGGATTTTATCTGCCCTCAGCTTCCAAGTAATTTCATCATACCCTTTGTTCTAGAAAAAAAGATCTTTTTACTTTTGTTGTGGAGAAAGGAGAAAGGAAGCTGGTGACTAAGACACCTCGTGCTTTTCTAGTTCTTCAGTTCTGATCTCACAGATTAGGAGTGTAATCAGCTTATGTGAGTGTGAAATAAATGAATGTGTAAAATATAGATTCGTGAATACATTCAAAATAAATTAATGTATAAAACTTTACAGTCAGCTGGCATTGATGTGGTCTGCAGCAGGAGAACAGTCCCTGTGAGAAGTCTTGTTTGATCAAGCCTGCACAGCATCGGAGAAGCTTTCGCCCCCAGGCAGAGCAGCATTGACGTGGCAGTCCAGCCTGCACAATTGAGCCTTGCAGAAACAGTGTGAGTTCAAACAGGGAATAAGCCCACAGGGATACAAAATGAGATAAAAAATTGGATTTTTCCAAAATGAGACAAAATATGGTGGCAAAGTTGAAAAAATGGTAGCAATGTTTCCTTGAATGGCTTGCCAGAAGTGGTAGAGAATTGCAACAGCATTTGGTTTTAATGGTTGGGTTTTTATAGTTGCCAGGTTGGTTGTCAGTTTGTTGTTGTTGTGGGTTTTTTTGTTTGGTTTTTTTTTTGTTGGTTTTTTTTGGGTTTGGGGTTGTTTTTGGTTTGTTTTTTTTTTTTGAGGGGGGTTTGTGGAAAAACAAATTTGTAAAGAAATTAAAAAGTAAAGGATTTCCTTCTGATTTAGAAGAGGAATATTACCAAAAGTGAGATAACACTTGATGTGTTCTTGTGAAGGATCTGCAAGGACAAGACACTGCAGCTCAGTGTTAACATGTGTTGAGTGCCCATCCCTTGGTTGAGTAGTTCACAAGTGACTTTTTCTCCTCAGCCTCTTGCAAGCTCTTCTGATTTTAGAAAGAGGCCAGAGAGGTCTTTGAAGACAAAAATACTGAGAGAGCTCATCAGAATAAAATGCTCTGACAATGAGTCAGGGTTAGAGGCGCAACACTGACACATCTAGCCTTATCAGTCACCTTCTGACCTCCCATTCTGGTTTTCTGTTCCAGTCCCCTCTGGTGAATGGCAATTTCCTCAATAGCAGGAAGGTAACAAAGGTAAAATCACTGATATCTCAGTGTGTCTTTTAATGTGTGGGCTTGAACAAGCACAAAACAAAGAGGTGTTGTGAGGTAATTATGTAGGTGTGAGAGCAATGCCTAGTTTCAGAGGGAAAAGCCAGCCCAGCAGAGCAGCAGCTGTTCACACTTGCAGTCATTGGGCTGAATTGTCATCACTCAGTCATGATGTTTTCCCCATGGTACAATACTGGGGAGGGGCTGTTCATCTCTATAGAACCTGGCTGCAGAACTGACTCATGTAGGGAGGGCAGCTCTGGGCAGCAGGAGCATTTGGGAAAAGGCCAGTCCTCTGGAAAACTAGATTACAATTCAAGCAAGACTTAGCCTATCCATGTACAGTTTGCTGGCTGAACATTTGCTTTGCTGAAATTACTGTAGAGATACAACTGCAATTCTTTTTCCAATAAAGTATATGTTGTTTCAGAAATTATTAAATAAACTGACAAAAATGTTCTTTTGCCATTGTAAGTGAAGTTGCTGTTAGGAGATCCTATCAGCCTGCCTACCCCAACCCTGGTTTTATATGCTGGCATAGGTACTTTCTAAACTCATCATGTCCTGGCTAAGCTGGGCCATTTAGAGCTGGCTCAGGTACACTATCAATGTTTGCCACACAACCACGAAGAGGGTGCTCTTTTCAAAACCCTCCCAGTGAAGCCTGCTTACCTTCTTGACTGCAGTACTCTGGTGCAGAGGGTTCTTGTGCATAGGGCTCATGGCGTGGTTCATACATAATCATAGGGATTTCCGCACGTGCCTTCTCAGTGGGCATCTCTGCAGTTCACCTGTCAAAAGCAGTGCAAACTAAAATCCACTGTGACTTCCAGTGCCCTGTAATGCCTGCTTCTGTAATTCTTAGTTCTCACACTCAGATTTTACTTAGAGGAAAACCAGCAGTACTCATATTCTGGCTTTTTTATAGACTGAAGTGCAGTCAGTTCCTGTTACGCTTCATGATGAGGGAGATGGGAAGGGAGAAGAGAACATACCATTTTTACATATTTGTGCTGTAAAGCTAAAAATGTTCCTCCAGGAAAACACACTAGTCAAAGTGTGTAAACTCATGACTGGAAGTGTTACCTTTGCAGAAAAGCTAACCTGATTTTTTCTATGGGTTGTCAAAGCAATCAAGGAGGGCTAGAGCACATTTGAAAAACCTTTGTGTCATTAAGTCAGACCCGGCAACAATGCAACCAGTGGCAATCTGGATCTGTCTTTCCTTGAGTTGTTGTGCAACTTTATCATCGTCATTATCACAGTACTGTGAAACTATTGTTTCATCACTACTGTGACAGGCTTTTGTTGTGCAAGATCATTATTAAATATGACTGCACTGCCTGAGGCTCTGAACAGGATCAGGCCACAAAATATATGTGTTTTGCAGGTGTTACCAGGAACTGCTCCTCACAGTAAAGGAGAGTGGGAGGAAGAGAACACAGATGTGTCTGCATTACTGCAAGTGGAATGGTGTTAATTATTTCTAGCTATCCCTTAAACTAGTATCAGCCTGTTGGTTTCCTACTAACGTTAACTGTAGGAGTCCTTTGCAAAAGAAAGTTACAGTCTTCTGCACAGATCAGCAAGGAATGGCAATTTTGTGAGAAAAAAAGGAGGAAAGATCTTTATGAGAAGCTTCTAAATGAGCCTGATGCAGGTTTAGTGACTGCTCAGGTAACTTCATTTAACTCGTTGCATTCCAGCTAAATGTCCTGTGTTGCTGTGCAGGTGCCTTCCTTGGTTCAGATCAGGACTGTGCCCATCTCACTTGCTCTCTGGTGATGCAAAAGGGAGGGGTTCTATTGTTAAAAGACACTTGGATAAGCAAATAGAGTCTAAGAAATGTAGCCTTTGGCAAGTCAGCACAAGCTGGCTGAATATGAGATCAAACTGGTGTAGGATAGAAATTGCTGAACAAGACAAGATGGTCTTAACAGGTCTGTTTTCAAGGAGCACTGGAGAGGAATATGGATGGGGGAGGCCAAAAAGGGGGGGAGTTAGTAGTGCTGAGATAAAGCATAAGTCTTTTCAGGGAGGAAGAAAAGGAGAAATTTGAAAATACTACTAGGGAAGAAGTGTTCACAAAGAAGAATTTTCACAAATCTGTATGAATTGAAAGTGATACTGGAAAATGGTAGAAGAATTAATACTAAAGGGAATAGGTAGAATGATGGCAATAAAAAAAATCAGAAATGCAGCATTGGCCATGTTAAAGCCAAAGATGCTGGAGAAAATTGCTAATATCTGTATTGAAGAGGAGGGATGGGTATACTTGTTATAAAGAATCTAAAATAGGTGATTGGGAATGTCAGAGGTATTAATAGGCGATTGCTGAAGCTTCATGAGGATCCCACTGAGAACAAAAAAGAAATGCTGAGAATCAAGAACTTGGGTAAGACGAAGCTATTAGAGGCAAGGAAGAGTAATGATTACAGAGAAGACAAACTGTGTCAATACTAACTGTGGGTTCAGGAGTGTGCTGGTAGACAATATTGCATTAGCCAGTGTTAAACAAGGGTTGTTTACTTGGGACAGGGATCAGTGGGCAAAATTATAGGGAGTCTCTAAGTTTTTGGCTTACTGTTATCTTGGTACTTAAACACCATACACTAAATACTGGGTGGTGTCGATTTGGGTGACATTTCTGCTGAATTCATCTCATTCACTGTGAAGCAGGGGAAAAAGGAAAGGGCTTTTGGATTTCATCCAGTGACTATAGGCCCAGGCAAAAGGCCTGTTTGTTGTGAGGCACAATGTAAGAGGGAATTATAATGGTTAACATAGTGAGAGTGTTGCATATTAACAGGTGAATGCAAGCAAACACTGACTAATTCTTGCTCCACCCAGTGAGGTATTAGTATAATATCACCAATTATAAATGTATAGGACAAGAGATACAGAAGTGAATCAGCAGCAGAGCCAGGAGTAGTGTGGGAGTCCCACTGGATGCCAGGTTTGTGCTTGATCTATTGAGCCATCAAACACAGAAGCTGTGGGCCATAAACTGTTGATAAAGTTGGTGCCCTGAATTTGCTCACTTACAGTGTCTTGATACGTGCTTCTAATAGCGCTGTCAGTAGCTCTGTGTGTTGTGATAGAGGACCTGCCTCAGAGCAGATGAGCTGTGAGATCTGGATGGGCAGCTGGGCTCCAGCTTCTGCAGAAGCTTCTTCAGCCTACCTGGGAGAAAGCACCAGGCTGTTTGATACCCTCTGGGCCTGAATGCTGTAAGTCCAGAGGTCCATGAAAGGCATTCTGTAGGATGTTTTATGCAACAAAGTAGATTCTTTCATTTGTTATATAAGTGGTTACTCTCAGTTCTTGGTTGCAACAATGTCTGTGGTACCCAAGAGCTCTCTGGGGCTGTGCCCCCAAAGCCTATGTTATTGCCATAGATCAGAGCTAGAGACCTTCATCTCGTTTATGATCATCTGCTGGGTATACGTGATGGGTATGGAAAAGAACATACAGTGTTAGTAGTCCTGTAGGAAAAAGATGTAAGGAGAAATATTGGTCAGCAGTTCCTGAAGAGCAGGAAAATGTCCTATATACTCCAAGACCAATACTTAACAGCTAGGGAAGTGATGTAAATTGCCTCCTCTGCAGTCAGACTGAGCAAAGGGAGCTCTCTGCAAGGACACAGCAGACCCTTAAGCACTCCTGAAGTGGGGGCTTTGTTTATCTGAAGCACTCAAGATTGAGTCAAACAACTGCAAACTGCTTGATTTGCAGGCAGGAATATGAAGTCCCAGGGGCACCAAAACAAGTCTGTGCCTTCTCTCCTCTGAAGTTTCAGTCTCCTCTACATATTGAGTATAATGGGTTTGCACTGGAAAATAAAGCTCACTTGAGTCCTGCGGAAATTACTATAGTAAAAAAAAAATCACACCCAGAGGCACATTCACAAAGAGGTAATTCAGGGAAAGGGAGCTGGAAACGACAAAGCCGTTCTGTTTCAGGAAGGACATCTCAGAGGGGAGGATGGACAACAGCAGTTTCCATCATCTTCCTCTGCATTTGCCCCAGGCACTTGTGTTCTGGTGTGAAGAGCAGTGTCATGCAGCCAAGGAAAGCTGCTGAACTGTCAGATTTCACAGCAGGTCCCAACTCTCATCCGAGCCTCTGCACGTTCCCTCCCAACGTCCCTGATGGCTACATAATATCACAGATGAGCATAGTCTGATGTGTGCCTGCAGAGAGGCACAGGTGCTGTCATTTTTGCTTGGTAAAGGGGAAACTGAGGCACACAGAGGACAGTCTTAATCAGGAGTCCTGACAGCGTTGTCATTTGGCCTCCCCTGTGTGGTTCAAAGAACCATGGCTTTCCTCCCCTCTGTGGTATTTGTTGGAAAGGTTTTTCAGGTGCTGCATGTTTACAGGGGTGGGTAGAGAGAAGGTGCCATCAATACGTATCATTTGTCACCTTTCAGAAATACTTTGTTCAGTTTGATTTCAAGTTTGTTGGAAATACGCTTTTCTCACAAACACTTCTTCAAAGGTGACATTGTGGTATTTGAAATGGAAGCATTCAAGAGCCTCAAGAGTCCAATGCAATTCGTGCCTGGTTTGACCTAGGTATAGCTCAGCAAAACACAAACTGGGAGCTACTTGACAGTCATCTCAGAAATCTCATTATTTGAGTGCTGATGCATCTTTTTTTTAATCTTACAAATGTGCCAATGAAGTATGTATGATTTCATTTGAAAACTGAAGTTCACTGCAGTACTAATCCTTCTCCATTTAGATTTGGAAATTACAGTCTGAGGAGAGGAGGCAGATGGGATTTGGCATGTGTATCAGTTTAGGTAACATTTCCTTGGAATTCTGTTCTCTTGAAGGAATGATGTGGTACTTCTGTGAAAGCTGATAAAGATTTACTAATCTATTACTACTATTACTATTAATAATAATATTAATTTATTCTTTAACTGGGGTTTGTTTTAGCAAGATTAATTGTTGGTCTCATACTGCAGACTCCAAATGAAGTTTCAAAACAGTTTTCTGTAGTGCTTGGCACTGGCCTATCTCTATTCCAGTTAAAGCAGTGGAGCTGCTCCCAGGACCCAGACCTGGATGTAACTGCACAAAATACCTCATGTTTCTGGGATTGGAGGGGAAAATGTAGGGACAACTTGGATGTGTGAGAGAGGGACTAAAGCTGGAAAGGGCTGTTTCTGTGCCCAGCCTGTACTACAGCTGGCTGTAAGGACTGGATTAGTATCATGTCACCTGGCATGTGGTTTTCCTATTTGGCTATCACATCATGTACCAGGATACCATCCAGAATCTTAGGCAGGACAAGAAGCAGACACTTTATAAGTGTTTAATCTGCATTCCAGCTCCAGCTGATATTAATGTGAGATTTGCCATTGACTTCAGTAAGAGCAGATTCAGAGATGGAAGAAAGGGAACATAGAATTTGGGAGGAAGCATTAAGTGATTCATGGATTTGAAGAAGATAGAATAATGCACTCAAAATTTCTGTGTTTTGTAAGATTAATGTTAAAATATTATAGTAAGTGATCTTCAGATTTCATGGATATAGATTTCATCTATACCTCATGTTGAGGTATTGATGTTTTCACCAGTGATCCGTTGGCTTTCAGGATGCTAGCCCAAAGGCTTTCAGTTTGCTCTAATATGTTCTTGTTCTCCTGTCATTACTAGTTTAATGCTTTCTTGGGCATTTAGCCCTTCCAGCTGCATTTATGAGACAATTTAAGTTTCTGCTATTTTAAAGAGTGACCATAAAATGCCATTGTTGGCATGCCATTGCAGCTACAACTTGACCAATATCGAGTGCCTGTGTTTTACTTTATTGAAGCAGTTAATTCTAGTTTTCAGCTAGCAACAAAACACTGAATTCCTCAGTGGAGAGATCTTTTCCCCCTAACTCTGAGTTGACTGTTTATC